TGGGGAGGCTTCTGAGCCTGAATCTCAGCCGCAATTCACTCACTGGTATCATCCCATGGGAGATCACAACCCTTCCTTCGATCACATCCGTCGATCTCTCCAACAATCTCTTAACGGGAACGATTCCGACAGATTTCGCCAGCTGTTCAACGTTGCAGAATTTCAATGTCTCCTACAATCAGCTCACCGGACCGATCCCTGCATCCGGATCGATCTTCCGGAAGAGCGTGGTAGCTTTATCGGATCCTGTGATTTGTGCGTGATGTGAGAGCGGTTTTTCCAGCCATTTTTCAGTTCAATTTGTTCAGACAGAGATTAATTTTAAAAAAATAATGGCGAAAAAAAAAGAAGAGTGGGGAAACAAGGAATGATGAAAAGTAGTGAAACAAAGAGGGGGGAAATAAAGAAGAGGAGGTCCATCCAACCAAACAAAAAGAGAAGAATGGGTGGTGAGAGAGCAGACAAAGCTGAATTTCACATAGGAAAAACAAAAAAAAAAGAAGGGATGCGCAGGAATTAAGAGCTTACCAAGTGTAAGAAGACTTGTCCTGCTACTACTACTAGTAGAAGCAGCTTCCGTTCCTGCAAAAAAATTCAACCAAGAAAGGCAACAAAAGAAAAAAATTTAATCATCATGATCATCATCATATACTCTCTTCCACTCCCAAAAAGCTTAGTTTCTCTCCATGAAAATCCCTCTTCTTCCCTAACCACACCACACTTCTTTCGCACTTTCAACTTTACCTCCTCCTTACCATGAAGAAACCCCCTTTCCTCCTCCTCATCTTCCATAACCTCTTCTTCTCCTGCTTTGCTCTAAGCAGTACTACGAGAGATACCCATGTCCCCTTCCAACTTCTCTCACTTCTCGCCCTTAAATCCTCTCTCAATGATCCTCACTCCGCCCTGGCTGATTGGGGAATGAACAAAACCGGTTCTGATGATACACCCCTTTGGTGTTCTTGGTCCGGAGTCAGGTGCCACGCGAAATCAGGCCAAGTTCTGTCTCTTAACCTGTCTCGTCGGAATCTCTCTGGTGTTATTCCGCCTCAGATACGTTACTTGTCGAGCCTAACCCATTTGAACTTGAGCGGAAACTCCTTCGACGGTCCTTTCCCCTCCTTCATTTTCGAGCTCGTGAACCTAAGGGCTCTTGACATCAGCCACAACTCGTTCAACACCACGTTCCCACCCGCCATCTCCAAGCTCAAGCTCTTGAGAATCTTTAATGCCTACAGCAACAACTTTACAGGGCCATTGCCGAGAGAGGTTACCCGTCTAAGCGCTTTGGAGGAGCTCAATCTTGGAGGAAGCTACTTTGAAGGAGAGATTCCTGGGGGATACGGTAGCTTACCGAGGCTGAGGCTTTTACATTTGGCCGGGAATTTACTGACAGGAGTGTTACCTAAGGAACTAGGGTTCTTGAACGGGCTCGAGCATTTGGAGATCGGATACAACCAGTTCATCGGCCGAGTACCGAAAGAATTCTCGTCGCTTTCGAATCTAAGGTACCTGGATGTCTCGAATTGTGAACTTTCAGGCCCTCTCACTGAAGAACTTGGTAATCTCTCCAAGCTCGAGGAACTTTATCTGTTCAACAACAGGTTCACTGGCGAAATCCCAATTAGCTACACCAACTTAAAAGCTCTCAAGAGTCTTGACTTGTCGGATAATAATCTGACGGGGGAAATCCCGCGAGGGTTGTCTGAACTGAAGGAGTTGACATGGCTGAGCTTGATCAGCAACAACCTCACTGGAACCATACCGGAGGGAATGGGAGAGCTTCCGAATCTAAGCATATTGCTTCTATGGAACAACAATTTCACAGGCATGTTGCCTCAGAAACTGGGTTCGAATGGGAAGCTGTTGAAGGTTGATGTGTCGTCCAATTCCTTGAACGGTCCAATTCCTCCTGGACTCTGCCGTGGAAACAAGCTTTTCAACCTCATCTTGTTCTCTAACCAGTTCGAGAATGAGATACCAAGAGATTTAACCAAGTGTACCTCCCTGTGGAGGCTCCGGATTCAGGACAACCATCTAAACGGCTCTCTTCCTCACGGCTTCGGCCTCTTGCCGAACCTGACATTCGTCGACATGAGCAAGAACAGACTCACCGGCGAAATCCCATCAGATCTCGGAAACTCGCCGGCGCTTCAGTATCTGAACATATCAGAGAATTCCTTTGGGAGCACATTGCCGGAGGGTATTTGGCGGGCACCGAATCTCCAGGTTTTCTCAACGAGTTTCAGCAATCTTACCGGAAAAATCCCTGATTTTGTTGGCTGCAAAAGCTTTTACAACATCGAGTTGCAAGGAAATTCATTCAATGGAAGCATTCCATGGAACATTGGCCACTGTGAGAAGCTTCTGAGCCTGAATCTCAGCCGCAATTCACTCACTGGTATCATCCCATGGGAGATCACAACCCTTCCTTCGATCACATCCGTCGATCTCTCCAACAATCTCTTAACGGGAACGATTCCGACAGATTTCGCCAGCTGTTCAACGTTGCAGAATTTCAATGTCTCCTACAATCAGCTCACCGGACCGATCCCTGCATCCGGATCGATCTTCCCCAACCTCCATCCTTCATCTTTCTCCGGAAACGACGGACTGTGCGGCGGTGTCTTGGCTAAGCCCTGCTCTGCCGAGACCCTCGCCACCACGGAAAATGCTGCTCACGACCATCCGCGGACGAAGAAGACGGCCGGCGCCATCGCGTGGATCATGGCGGCTGCCTTCGCCGTCGCGCTGTGTCTCCTCCTCGCGGGGACCAGGTGTTTCCGCGCGGTGAATCGCAGCCGTCAGTTCGCCGGAGAAACCCTTGAGAACCGGCCGTGGAAGCTCACCGCCTTCCAGAGGCTTAACTTCACGGCGGAGGATCTCCTCCAGACCTTATCGACGACAGACACGATCTTAGGCGTGGGATCCACAGGAGCCGTGTACAAGGCGGAGATGCCAAGCGGCGAGACCATAGCGGTGAAGAAGCTATGGGGCAAGCACAAGGATCACAAGATCCGCCGGCGGAGAGGCGTCCTTGCTGAGGTCGAAGTCCTCGGAAACGTAAGGCACCGCAACATCGTCCGACTCCTCGGCTGCTGCAGCAATGGCGAATGCACGATGCTGCTCTACGAGTACATGCCCAACGGAAACCTAGACGATCTGCTCCACCGGAAAACCAAAGGGGATACGGCGGAGGCAGCGGCGGATTGGACGGCGAGGTACAAAATTGCTCTCGGTGTGGCCCAGGGGATATGCTATCTTCACCATGACTGCGATCCAGTGATCATCCACCGAGATCTGAAGCCGAGCAATATACTTCTCGACGGAGAGTTCGAGGCCCGAGTGGCCGATTTCGGAGTCGCGAAGCTGATTCAAACAGATGAATCCATGTCCGTCATCGCTGGCTCCTACGGTTATATCGCACCAGGTACAATATCCCACTTTCCTGATCCAGATCAGTTTGGTCGATTCAATCGTACAATACGATCCCTATGATCTGATGAACAAAAATCAACGATTTTGTGATATGCAGAGTACGCGTATACGTTACAAGTAAGCGAGAAGAGCGACATATACAGCTTCGGAGTGGTGTTAATGGAGATCATCACCGGAAAACGATCGGTGGAGCCGGAATTCGGAGACGGAAACAGCGTCGTCGAATGGATCAGGAGCAAGATCAAGAGGAGAGAAGGAGTGAGCGAGATCATGGACAAGAACGCAGGAGCCGACTGCGCGTTGGTGAGGGAGGAGATGCAACAAATGCTCAGGATTGCTCTGCTGTGCACAAGTCCTAATCCGGCTGATCGGCCTTCCATGAGAGACGTCGTGATGATGCTTCAAGAGGCGGAGCCGAAGCGGAAGAACTCCGGCGACGGCGACGCTAATTAGATATTTTTTTCAAATTTGTTAATATTTTTTTATAATTTGGCGCCATGTCTATTTTCGGTTTTTGTCTTGAGTTTTTTTTTTCCCTTTCTAATTTGGTGGTGTTGGTATAGGGATTTTTTTTCTTCTTCTTTTGGCTTTTTAGATTTGAGTGAGAGATCTTCGAATTCGGTTATTTAGCTATTTATCCTATTGGGAGTTTTTTTTTTCTTCTAAAATTAGAATCTCCCTGAAAAATTATATCCTAATTAAATTACATCACATATTTATTTAAAAGTCGCAATTTTTTAAACATCTTTATAGCGATAGAACACTAAAATAATTTATTTATCTTTTGTTACGAGGTTATAAATTTCTTGGATGGATCGATTTCCCCTGTTCATGTTTGGTGTTGTTATTATTAAATGTATAATTTTTTTTTTACAAATTAACATTTAGAACAGAAGTCTTCTCCTAAAGCTCTATCACTAGGCCTTTTGGACGAGATGGATCCTCACGCTGTTCTCATTCTCCTGTCACAACAAAAGGTTACACACTCGTCTTTTTAGCATTTCAGAAATACCAAACCGGAAATTAAACCGACCGTACCGGATTAACCAATTTGGTCATCCGTTTAACCGGTAATGGCCCGTATAAATTGGGCCTGGGTCTCAGTCCATATGGAATTATTTAAAATAAATAAATATAATATTTTAATGAATTACTTACCACGAGGGTGGGAAGAATGTCAATGCAGTTTTCTATTTCCTCGCAAAACACTAATTCTTGTTCGGACATGCTAAGCAACTCTGTCAGCTGATATAGGATTTTTTCAACCTGAGATTTATGAAATATTTATATTTTTTATTAATAAAATAAAAATAAAAACTAATTTAGAATAAAAAATGAAGAAATATAATTAAAAAAAATGGGATTTATACCCGAGGGAGGAACTTGACGATTATATCTTCGATCTCATCCATGGCTTCAATGGCCGCGACCATTGCCTCGTGTACGGACATCACATCTGCCTTCAATATTTTCAAAAAAAAATATATATTATTGTTATATTACAAAAAAAATACACTAAATTAATATCTTTGAACCGATAGCGATAAATGAAAACCTATCTATAAAATGAATTGTATATATATATTTTTCTAAAAACGCAATATGACATTTTGGCTGTATTAATTTATTTAAAAATATTTTTTTATTACGAGAATTAAAAGTTGTAATTAAAAAATAAGAGATTAAACGAAAAAAAAAACTTATATTATACCTTGACGCCATGAGTGAAAGGCAGTCGGACGGAAAAAGCGTGTAGTTTTCGAGTTAGTTTGCTCAACGCCTCGTAGTTTTTGGCATCAAGTTTCGACCATTTGTTGAGAAGAGGCATCTGAGTGTACAAAACATCAGACAGTTTAATCTCCTGACGAAGTTTCTGGACTTCGATCCGTCTTTCCATCACGTAGTTCCTCATGTTGTATACTCTAAGCCAAACCATGAACAACTTGTCCTGAAAATATAATCAAAAAAATATCAATATTAATTGTGAATATATATATTAATACAGAGAAAACATATGAAAACATTATATTTTTTAAAATGCATCGGGTTAAAACTCTAACTATCACGTAATAAAACCTATATTTTTATTAAAACATCCAAAAAACATATTTTTAATTATTTAAGCTGTTTTAGTTATATTAAAATATATTAAAAATCTTAATTTCTTATTATCAAATTACTTTTTGTATAGGTTTGTGATAGTTCATAATTGAAACGTAAATTTTAAAGATAAAGATATTCTTTATGTTTTATTTTAAAATTTTGACGATTCTAGTATAATGTATGATTCAAATTTTATTTACCATTATTTATGAACTAAAATTTAGCTTTCTAACTAAGTTCACAAAAGAAAAAATATTAAAGATCGATTCGGACATTATTGAAAACATAAAATCCATGGTCATACAAAGCTCTAAATTAAACTAGAATGTTAGATGTACCATTTTTTTTTTTAACATTTCCATTTAGAAATGCAAACGACGATTCTAAAATTATATAGACACATAAAAATAAATATATACGTGGGTCCATATAATTAAATTAAATTACCTCGGCATTAACCTTCAACTTAGACATAGAAGCCTCAGCTCTTGCATTAACAAACCTCCATTGAAGCAACCTGTTGTAGAAGACCCTAAACCGGTGGTAATCCTCTTCTTGAACCGGTGACACCTTCTTCTGCTTGAAGTATCTCAAGACTCCGGCGACTCCTCCGCCGCCGCCTTTCGGCCTCGCTGCCGCCGACCTCACCGGAGACTCCGGCGGCGTCATGCAAAGAGACGAAGAAGAAGACGACGACGTCAAAACCCTGCCCGGAGACAACGCCCACGCCGAGGGAGAGGTTGCTGACGATTTTACCCCTCTAAAGCTCCCGAAATTACGAGGGCTGCCACGCAGCTGCTGCTGCTCCAACAGCCTTGCCACGGCCTCGCAAGTGACGACGCTGCTGCTGTATCTCGCCGGAGCTATTTCTCCGGCGTACTCTCCGGCGGTTCTCGACGACCTCGTCGTGGAATGTGACCGGCTTGTTAGTATTCGTTTGCTGGAGTTGTTCGAAGAGGAAGAAGAGGAAGACGAAGAAGAATAAGAAGACGCCACCGAGGCGTTGAACGATTCGGGGAGTGACGTCGACGCGCCCCGGCGGCTGCGGTTGAGGTCCGGCGACGGTGGCTGGAGACGCCGGTTTGTGGTGGTTCCCATTTTTTTATCAGTCGTACGTATTAGTAGTGTTTAATGTGTCGTATGATATGGATTTTTATAAAGAATCGATAATATATACAATGTTTTTGAATTAGAAAAGATATAATATATTGTTTTTATGGGCTTGTAGAAGTTGACAGCACGTAGAGGGAAGTAAAGAACACTTCTGCATGTCATATATGTATATATACATATATATCATATATATATATATATATATATATATATATATATGCAAAGGTCAACATAGCCAGATACACGTCGTCTCTACCTAGCTCTATTTTGCGTGGTCAATGTTAACACGGTGGGTTGACGTTTGATCACATATATGCCATATTATAATTTATACACATACATAATATATTATATATATATATCAAGAACATATTATATATATATATAGATAGATTTAATTAAAAAGGAAAAAGGGATGCGAAAGGGCAAGTCAAATGCGATATAGATGAGAGAGTCTCTGTTAGGGCTGGGCGTTTCGGTTCGGTTATTCGGAACTGGACTGAACCGAACCGTTAAAACGGTACTTTTTCCGATCCGAAATCGCTGTTATTTCCCGAACGGTACCATTTTTAAAGACCGAATTTTTCCGGAACCGAACTTTAAAAATCCCGAAAAATCGAATATTTTTAAAGAAAATCTATCATTTTTTAATAAAACCCGGAACCAAACCGAACCGATACCGAAATCGAACCAAACCGAATACAATAAAAAATTCGATTGGTACCTATTTTGTAAAACCGAAAAAACCGAACCGATCTATTCCGTCCCGAACCCGAACCGTTTCCCGAAACGTCCACCCCTAGTCTCTGTTGAGACTTTTGGTTGCTCATTACTTTAGGGGTTATAATTTTGTTAAATTTATTTAACACTAGCAAAGATTTAATTAATAACTAAAATTTAGAGAACAAATGTAGTAATTAATCCAAACTCTTGAATCTATATATATTAATAAAGAAGTTTAAAGAGTTGTGGTGAAGCCACATCATCATCCTAGGTGGATGTTTTCTAATTTTTGATTGGTTTATACAAAACTTCATTAAAACATGAATATTCAATTAGATTAACATTAATTTTTATACATAAAAAATAGTTTTAAAAATAATTGATTATAAGGATGACAAAGAATATCAATAAAATATAAAAACAAAGTTTATGTGGGAGGATCACAAAAAATGCAGAAGCAAAATGTCAAAATAGAAATTATTTATATATATGTGGTTTATTGTGGTGTCAAAATGTCAAAAAATTTTATGCGGAAAGATCATCCATGTGGCATTTTTAATAATTTCTATTGGATGTTGATTAGTTGCATAATTTTGGTTTTTAATAAGTTATCTCTAATTTTTATATATCAAAAACTATTTTTAAAAATATCAGTGGATCTTTATAATTAAAAAACTCATTTTTTTTAATCTTATACATAAATAATGAAATTTAAAGCAATTTGATGAAGTCACATCTACATGTCATTTTACTGAAACCTCATTGGATTATAAGATCACTCATTGAAAAAAAGAAACGTTTGTGGTTGGGTAAATAAAAAATTTATTTTGTTTTTATTACGGTCATTAAATTTCAATTAGTGGAGTAAGAATTTAAAACAAAAAACGTGCCAACGAATTTATTAACCCACTATGACCACTCTTCATAAAATAGTATCCATTTGAATTGAATGATACCTATACATTTAGAGACAATATTTATAATAAACGTGGAAATTCCATATCCATTTAGGTTTTAGTTATAAATATAGGAATCTGTAGACATTTTTATTTTGTTTTAATCAATCATTTGATTTAACGTGAATAGTTTTGAAAGCTTGTGTTTGGTCTCTATGTGCAGATAAGAAGAAGAAGTAAGAGATTTGAAAGAAAAAAAAAACCCTGTATGAATATTTAGGAGAAGAAGAAGAAAGAGAAGATAATGGAAATGGAGACAATGATTCACTGAATGCCAAGTGTTTGGAAACCTATTTTTGTATTCTTAATCGTTGTACTATTTTTTTTATTTCCATGCATCATTTCCTAATTATGTTCTATCATTTTTTTTTTGCAGGATAAGATGAATGAAGAATATTGTCGAAGAATCAAATCTGGTAAATAAAAGAGAGATCCAACTAATATCAAATTTAGTAAATTAAATAATTAGCAATTATAATCTATTCTTTTTTTAATTAATTCAATTTGATGGATCATTTTATGTCTCTATATAATATCATTTTTTTTGCATCCTAAATTATTTAAGTTTTGGGTCTATCGATAATATTTGAATTTTTTGGTTGTGTTATTGCAGGGGACATGAATAAGAATAACATGAACTTTCCTGAGATTTTATGAAATGTGAGATTGAAATGGTTATTTCTATATGTATAGATTTATTTATTAATTTGATTAAAATAAATTTATTTAAAATACGTGGTATATAGAAAAATCTTTAACATGAAAATATATGAGTTTAAACTAATAAAAATACTCATATTCAACTTCTTTTATATAAAATATATTTCTATGTATGTATGAATATATACATAACTTATTATTAAATGATATTATGATAAAACTAAATGATACTATTTTAAATTAGAATCATAGACATAAAAAAAATTCAAAGACCAATGGACAAAGTTTTCAATATACATAACTTATTATTATTATTTCTATTTATTTTTATTATTAATAATTTTTAATAAATTTATAATATATTATTTTTATTATTACAATAATTTAAATTTTATGATAAAATATACTCTAAATGATTATTAGTTATTTAGAAAAAATGTTATAATAAACTAACATCCCCCATATGAATATTATCTTATTATTTTAAAAGATAACGAATAAAAATATATTTTTTTAATAAAAGTTAGAAATATACATTCTATAATTTTTTGTAAATAAAATTATACAGAATTTTATTAAAACTTATAAAATTATAATAAATTATAAATGAGTTAGTGATGTGTCATATTATATTATTTGTATCACATGTATAAATCAAAAGTAATATTCAAGTATATAATTTGAACATTTTAATTTTTGATTCATGGAAATTATAAAAATCATATAAAATCATAAAATTCTTAATATATATTATATATAAATAATATTAATATTGTATAAATTAGTTAACATTTTTTTGATTCAGGTATTTCATCATTTTATACATCATAATCTATAAGAATTTATATGAATACACAACTCAACATAAATTTTTTTTTAATAAATTGTATTGTTATTTTATATGATATTTATTGATTTATAACACAATTACATATAAACAAACAAGTATAATGGCAAGAAAATTATGACAAATCTAAATGATATTAGTTTAAATTAGAATCTTAAGCATAAAAAAATATTCAAAGACCAATGGACAGAGTTTTCGATATACATAATTTATTATTATTATTTCTATTTCTATTTATAAATGAGTTAATGATGTGCCATGTTATATTATTTTCATCAATGTAATCTAAAGTAATATTCAAGTATATAATTTGAATATTTTAATTTTTATTTAATTTTTAACAAATTTTTTTATATAAAAAAAGAATAATATTGTAAAGCTTTTCAAGGTGATTTTGCAATAGAATTTCGCTCACAAATGGACAAATTGAATGTTAAATTTAATATTATAATCGTTATTGATGTAAATTTTAAAATTATGGATGGAAATTATAAAAATCATATAAAATCATAAATTCTTAATATATTATATATAAATAATATTAATATTATATAAATTAATTGACATTTTTATGATTCAGGTATTTCATCATTTTATACATTATAATCTACAAGAATTTATATGAATGTACAACTCAACATAATGAAAACTTTATTTTTTTACACATAAAAAAATATAAAATATTGAGAATAAAGTCATTCGAGACAAATAATTGTCAAACTTATTTATTCAAGGTATAGATAAAAAAATTATTATATAATAATACGATGATATTTATATTCTTCTATTTTTTACTTTTTTAATATATATAATAATTTAATAATATAGTTTAACTTTATATTTTATATATATATATAAATTTTTAATATTCATATCAATAATTTTTTATAATGAAAATAAAAATAATTTATATTAATAACAATAATTTTTAACACATATCATTTTATCCAATAATCATACTAATAATTAACTATATATGCTCTTCGTAATATCAATTAATAAATATAAGTTAAATAATAAAATGATAACATTCGATTGATGCAAAAAATATCTATATTACCTAAATGATCAAAATTTTATACTAAACAAATCCATAAATTATTATTTCTAGATATGTTAATGAAAAAGATGCAAAGAGATATAACATAAAATGTGTAATTACATTGACTACACATGCATATTATCGTAAAAAATATATATTCAACGTATAGAATTACATTGACAAAATTATTCAATATAAAAATAAATTTATAATATAATAATGTAATGATATTTAAACTTTTTTACTTTTTCTTTTTTCATATATATATATATTGATTTAATAATATAATTTTTTCTATATTCATATCAATATTTTTCATAACAAAACATAAACATTTTATATTAACTATCAAAAAAAATATCCCGCGTATCGCGCGGGTCTTTTCTAGTAACCATTAAAAAACGATATAAATTGACAGAAATTGCTAGGTTGAAAACGAAATTTGATACGAAAAAAAAAATATTTCGTGTTGGAAATGATTATACTTTCACCAAAATTCAAATATATCAATCGAACAAATTTTAAGAAAACTTAATCTTGAAATTAAGATTATTCGTCAAATATTTGTTAAATTATATATATAATGATTATTTATTCAGTATAATTGCTCGATACTTTACGATCTTTATATTGTATATGCAAGAAGAAAACAAAACAGGGAAGAAATATAGTACGAATCGATATTTTCAAATTTGAGAAAATGAATTTACAAATAGGGTTTTAAAGTCATAAAAAAGGGATTCAAATTTGTAAATTCGTACAAATTTAATGGCATAAATCAATAATTTTTAAACACAAAATTATTCGTATATTGGGTAAATGCGTAAACACACAAATTTTATTATAATAAAATAAAAATATGAAAGGGACAAAACAGAGGAAATGAAGGCCACTAACCCCTACAAAGTACCAACGGACAGAGTGAGTGTGATGATCTCTACCATTTTCAAAATTTCTGTTCATTTTTCAAACAAAAACACAAAAAAAAATTAAAATTAAAAATTAAAAAACAAATTCAAACAAGCTCCTTTTTCTCAAGTATCCGTTGGAACAGTCGTGCCTGAGAAAAACCCATCTCTATTTTCTCGGCAGACAAACACATCCAAGAAAATTACACACACCAAAGAGAGAGAGAGAGATCCATAAAAGGAATAAACTTTCGAATACCCAATTACCCGTAGAGATATGTGAAGCAGATAGAGAGAGAGGGAGAGAGATTCGTTGATGCTTCAAACGATGTCGTTTCGTGAGAAGACGCCGACGAGCCCCAAGTCGCCGCTGCGGCGGCGGCGCTCGAGCTGGTCCGACGCCTGGATCAACAACGCGTCTCCTCTCAAGAACGTCGTCTGCGCTATGCCGGTTCAGTCGTCGAGCTTCAAGTCCAAAACCCTAACCCGTAATTTCTCCATCGATCGAACACTCGCTTTGTCCGACGCCCTCATGCTCAAGATTCTGGAGAAGCTTCCCGATTCCCAGAAAAACGCCGTTCCCCTCGTCTGCAAGCGGTGGATGAATCTCCAGGGAGGTTTTGTACGGACGATTAAGGTTTTGGATTGGGATTTCCTCCTCTCTGGTAGGCTGATTTCGAGGTTTCCGAAGCTGTCCCATGTCGATCTGGTAAGCGCCTGTCTGAATTCTCCTCGGAGTTCGGGTATTTTGCTCAATCACATGGGGATCTCTTTTCATATCCCTTCCGATCTCTCGTCGAATTGGGATTTTGCGGAGGAAAATCTATTGCCTAATGACATGGTCGATAGAGGGCTAAGAGCATTAAGCAGAGGGGGTTGTAATTTGCGCAAACTTATAGTGATTAATGCTACTGAATTGGGATTATTAGGTCTAGCTGAAGAGTGTTTGGATTTGCAAGAGCTTGAATTGCACAAGTGTAATGATAATCTCTTGCGTGGAATCGCTGCCTGCGAGAATCTGCAAGCATTGAGATTGATAGGCAGAGTAGATGCATTGTATAGTTCATCAGTGTCTGATATCGGTTTAACGATTCTAGCACAAGGGTGTAAGAGACTAGTGAAGCTCGAGCTTAGCGGGTGTGAAGGCGGTTTCGATGGGATGAAAGCCATCGGTCAATGCTGCGAAATGCTCGACGAGCTCGTCATTTGCGACCACAGAATGGAAGATGGTTGGCTGGCAGCTCTGTCTTACTTTGACAATCTGAAGAAGTTGAGAATCACGTCGTGCAGAAAGATCGACCCTTGTCCCGGACCAGAACACGTGCTCGGTTCTTGTCCAGCTCTGGAGCGTTTGCATCTGAACAAGTGTTGTCTAAATGACAAGAACGGCGGTGTGAGGGCATTGTTTAGAATATGCGAAGAAGCAGCACATGTTTCTTTTCAAGACTGCTGGGGATTAGACAACGATGCTTTCAGCGAGGCTAAGGCTTTCAGGTAAACGGAAAGTTGAACGCTTTTTTACCGTATGTATGTTTCATTTCGAGTATTTGGTAATGACAGTAGTTCATATCCGTACTGGAAAGAACAATGGGATTCTGCATTTAGTCTTAAGGTATCACTCTTCATCCTCTAGCTTCCAAATCGACGAAATGCAGGTTTTGTGCAAAAGGGTGTGATAGAATCCTATCATAAACCTACCTCATATCGATTAATTACGAAAGCTCAAACTATGTTTTGGAAACGGGTTTTTATCACATGTATGAGAAACCATTTGACCGAAACGTATGCTGCCTGTCTTATTTCCATTTCCGTTTTCCTGCTGCAGGAGGGTAAGATATCTGTCATTAGAAGGGTGCTCTCGGCTAACGACGGATGGGTTAGAGTCAGTCATTCTGCACTGGGAAGAGCTCGAGAGCTTGAGAGTGGAGTCGTGCAAGAGCATAAAGGACGGTGAAATTTCTCTGGCTCTCTCCTCGCTGTTCTCTCTTCTCAAAGAACTGACGTGGAGGCCGGACACAAGATCTCATCTCTCTTCTGTTCTTGAGAGCACTGCCATTGGAAGGAGAGGCAGCAAATTCTTCAAGAAGAGATGAGTTACTAATCATTGCATACATACATATATGTGTGTATGTATATATATGTATGTATATGCCTTAAAACTCTTCATGTTTCAAGTAAAACATGCTCAGATTACTCTCGCTGAGTGTTCAGTGACATCTGGAAACACTCGGATTATGTATTAGTATCAGTGCTCTCTCTATATTGTACAATAACAAACGTCTTCCTGTTTTGGATTTATCTGATCCCATTGTATGTGGTTTTGTCAAACATTAAACGGCAAGCAGTTCTAGATCCGAGGTGAAGCTGGACCAAGAAGATTTCGTTAACCGGACATTTCTGTTGACATGAACCGGTAATCTGTTTACGCTAACTATGCCTAATGCTATGCTGACATGGCAACCATATCTTCAACGTAATGTAAACTAAAAACCGGAAAAAGATATTGTCATTAGATAAAGTTCAGAGCAACAATATCAAAAATACACGCAACTCATTGGTTCGGAACTCACGGACTCATCCGAGGGTCCAGGAGGATCAGTTCCTTATTATTTATATAAGTATATGATTTTATTTATTTATTTATTATTATTATCAGAATTTGGAAATACTGTATCATTGTAATCCTTTTTTTTTTTTGAAGAAAGATTACAGAAAAGGGTTTTTTTTTTGCTCGAAAGAAATGCTTGGTTCATCATTGAATTCTCCAACACCTTCTATATAAAATAATCAGACAAAAAAAGAAAATACATTTTGCAAAAAAAAAAAAATACATTGGATTGAATCGTTAACAAGTGTTAATTACAGACGAAAAATACATAAAAAATTTAAAAAAGCAGAGACACTTTTAATCTCTAAAACTACGGAACACAAGTCTAAGAAACTGGAAACAATGGATACAAAAGAAGTATTTACCTTTAGTTTTGCGCAAAGATCTCATGGCTTGATCCCTTCTGTAAGCCTTCAGCACAGCATCGTCTTCTTCCTCGTCTTCGTACATCAGTTCTCTTCCGTTGTCGATCCCATAAAACATGTCCGCATTTTTCCGCCCACCCATTTGAAAAAGATAACGGCGATGACTCGGCCACTGGGTTTTTTGGCGTACGGCCGTTGACTACATTTTCCGACTATATGAATTGGAACGCGGTGTTGATCCTTGCTAGTGTCGAATTGTGATTGCCCTTTTTATAAGGGAATTTAAATGTTTTTATTTTATTTATTAGGATTAGACGAATCCCAACTAACTTCAACGCCAAATCTCTTTCTATATTCCAAGTTTAACTTGATTTTTTAAAGGTGTAGATAATTTTACTTTCGCATAAAAAGAAAAACCCTGAATAATATTATATGCTAAATATTTTTTTTACATTGGTAAGAAAACTAAAAGAGTATATATGCGGTTTCAAAAAAAAAAAAAGAGTTATGTATGCGGTTCCTCAGTTCTAATCAAACCGAACCGGAAGGAACCCGGTTTACAAATATCCAATTGAGTAAATGAATATATATATAGAGAGAGAGACAGTCATGAGCTCATACCGAAAGACAGTTCTTGTGTGAAGCAATAACCTTGTGTTCTACAACGGCTGCATTTCGAGATCGGTGTTGTGTCGGGAAACCGGAACAGAGCCATTGTCAGCGTCGGAAGCTTTCATCTCTTGAACCGGAGGCGGGTTAACGACGGTCATCGGCATCACAAAGTTGTCTGAAAGACGGTTCTTCATCTCGCGGTGTTCTTGGCAAAGTGCACACCAATGGAGACAGCAGTGAACCAGACAGGGGTCACATGGTGAGTTCTGCAACAATGGCGGACAGTAAAAAGATCAAAGAAGAACAAAAACCGGAACTTCATACCAAGTTCTTTGGAGTTTCTTATCATATGATTAGATAAATCTAACCAACGGAGAGATTTTCATCACCCAATTTTATAACCCGAGTTTTGTTTGATACCTTGAGATGGTATTTCCTCTGGAGAGATTGACGGACATTTCCGGTGTAGATGCCACACATCCACCACGCAAACAACAACCCCTCGCAGATGAGGAACGATGTCTGAGGATCTATACCATGAAAAAGTGCAGTAGCTGCAGCCAGTGCCATTCCGCCTTCTACAAAAAACGCATGGCAAACACATGCTTTGGTTCCATGGGTATCGTCGTCGCTCAGATTTTCAAAGTTACGCCCGAACTGAACACATGGGCAGAAGAGTCCTCTCCAGCCTGTGAAAAGGTGCAGAACATGGAAATGATATGGAAGTGGAACGGATAGAAATTGTCATCTCACTCTACATGAGACCGAGAATCGAAAACGATACTGTATGAACCTTTCTCAGGATATGAAGAATCCAACTCTAATACGCTCATCACTTAAAGTCAACTTCGACATTTGCAAAAGCATTGATGTACATATATTCTACTTAAGATAGAGCACTAGGAATCAGGAAGATGAATACCGAATTCGTGTGAGCAGAGAGTGGTAAACATGGAAGATATTTACAACTCTTAAGGCTACTTTGGTATAGAAAAAGCATCAAAAGGGAAGAAAACCAAAGGAAAACTCACAACTCTCCGGATCCTCAGCACAGCCGAAAATTCCGGTGGTCCATGGCTCATCGGCTGGAGGCTCAAAGTTCTCAGGCAGAGGTTGACCACACTCATTGCACTTACGAACGTTAAGCTGTGGAAGAAGTCCACAAGATCAGTGATGAAACAGACAGAAGAAGCTTTCTTCACAGATCTTTCAGAGATCACAATTAGCTCGGAATCAAACATCAAACAATCATCATTCCCTCGTTGATAAACAGATGTATGCAGAGATCCACGGAGAATACAATTCGGCTGCATTGTGAAATTCGATCGGTATTTATCAAAAAAAAAAAGGAAATTCGATCGGTATTTCTAAAAGAATTACGCAACCCCATTTCCGATCTAGAGAAAATTCAGCTCAGGACATGACACGGAAGCAAGTGTTGAGAGCATTATCATTTTCTCGGGATTCAAACAAGCATAACGTAAATCACGCGATGAAACCGCAAATCGCAGGAAGAGAACCTCAGATCCGTTATGAAGGATCAGGAAACAGGTTACCAAACACACACCAATCGGATTTGATAGATCGAGAGAGAGACAGAGAGAGATACCTGCGGGACTTCGATCGGCTGATTGAGCTCTCCGGGCTTAATGTCATCGAGCGGAGCCTGCTCCTTCGTCAACTTAACGTACTTCGACGGCGCTCCTCCCTCCGCCATCTACAGCCAACAGCAAAAAAAAAAAAAGCAAAATCAGTCGCAGAGAAACATTCTCTCTCCGGTGTTTGGCTCCCGAGAAACCGCGAGAAAAAAAAAAGAAAAGAAAAAAGCAAATACATCGTCGGTGACCTCTGCGGAATCCAAAAGAAATTGAAAATCGTCTTCGAAGTTGGCAGAGACTCTCAGTTTTTAGTCTATGCGATTTCTGCTACGTTACCAAACACTATTAACTTTTGCCTCCGCAAAAAAAGCTGTGCGGATGCAAACGATGTTGTTTCCGTATTGTTTTTTTATTCTTAGGATGCTAACGACGTCGTTTCGGCACAGTTTTTTTTTAAGATGCGGACGTTTCGGTTCGATTCGAACCGTACCGGACCAAAAATCTCGGTGTTTTTTTCTAATCATATCATTCAAAATTTTTGAATGCTATATTTTATATAGAATCGAATTTTTAAAACCGAATCAAAACGAAATGAACTTTATAAATTACCCGAAAAACCGAATTTTCTTTAAAAAATCTAAATTTCTGAAACAAAAACCGAAATTGAACCCTATAGAAACCGAAATCGAAGCGAAATTAATAATATACGGTATTAATTAGATATATTTTAAAATACCAAATAAATCATTTTCGAATAGAACCGCTAAAATTTTGAATTGAATCGTTTTAACGCCCACGCCTAAGTTTTAATTTTCGGATTACCAAAGGACGGACAAAACCAAAACTGTCATTGTACATATAGATCATAAGATGCAGTGTAAGAAGAAAACCAGTTTGGTCAAAGAAGATATTTGTCTTACTGTCCAGAAAAAAAAAAACCCATCAGAAAACACAAATTCAATAAAACAATACAAGGAAAAAAAAGATTGAAATTATACTTTCAATTCCTCTGTATCTCAATCAAAGCTAACCCGACGCATCTTGCAGACGAGGTTAGCCGTGGGGAGATCGAGCTGATTCGCGGCTTCCGATCTCATCAGATCTTTCAGCTGCTCTCTCGACGTGGCAAGACACGTCTGGAAAGTGGCGAGAACCGGCGGGATTGGCATCGAGAGAGCTGAAAGCACATTGCTCAAGTACTCTATATCTACCGACAACTGTTGTGCTCCACGGTCAGATGCGTGCTGGATTCCTCTCAGTTGCTCCATGTAAAGAGCCGTTGCCCCTTCCGCCACCTGCGATTTTTCACGAACATGGACGGCATGATGATTAAGTACAGATTATGGGAAGGAACATCATTTTCCAAAACCCAAATCCGGTATCCATATCATTTGCAACCCTACTTGGAACTAGTCATGAATTTTACCAAATGGGTTGAGAATGCATTCACCAATGCCAATTCATGACAATCCTTATCTCATGAACATGGCATGATGATTAAAGCAAGATTATGGTGAGGACATCATTTTCCAAAACCAAAACTGATATCCATATCATCAGCCAGTTTCATGACAATCCTAATCTCATGTGATTATTACCTTAAACATCCACTCGGTTGCAAAAAACTGAGCATCTTCGTTGTTTGCATCACTATTATTGGAGATACCTTCGGCAAGAGGCTCCAGTTGTTGGGGCAAAGTGAGGAGATATTCTCCGACACTTGTAACATAGGATTGAGGATATGAGCTGAAAGTTGGGAGAGGGAAGGCGGTTTGTTCCTCAGCTGCTGACCAGATCGGCATGTGAGATACGTCGCCAAGACGCTGTCTGACTTTTGATATGAGGACGTCGTATACGAGTTCATTCACTGTGTCAGCAAATGCAGAAACTCTCTGAGATGCCAATGGGAGAGCATGGAATCGTGGATCTTTAGACTGCAAAAAGACAACAAGAAACAGAGGAGGCATTAGTTTCCTAAGCTAGCATGATTTTAAAATCAATCATCCGCCCAAATGATGGAAACGACCACACAAATCAGTAATTACATCAGAATGGTAATACGAAAAGGGTAATGTATAGTTTTTCGGTACCTGCTCCAAAAGGTTAAGGAGTTTGCGAGCCTTCTCTGGAACATCAATGAGCCGAACAGCTGAAACATCCAGCGAAGCCCGTCCAGCCATAGATAAATCCCCGCTCGTCTGGTCACTTGTCAAATGCGACAAGTTTTGATCCAGATTTGTGCCGAACAGAGAAATCGACAAGCTCGAGTTCAGTCTAACGAGAGTGGCCCTCAGCGAGGCTTCAAAGACTGCAGATCTGCTCGTCAGACAATCAGCCACTGTAAGTATTTGCAATGCTCCCTGGACAATGGACCATTCCTCCTCGTTCGAGATCAAGTCCATTTTACGAGAGCTATCCCTTTTCTCCGAACTCCCCTCTTTCTTCGAACCAATTCCATCTCCTGCACCGTCCACTCCACACACAACTCTCAGAGATTTAAGGGTTTCCTGAAGCATAGAGATGTACTGTACCATTATGTCATCGAGTGCAAGAATTAGCTCATCCGCTTCAGAACCGCCAGTGAAGCTGATGCACCTTTCGACTGCAGCTTCGAGAAGAACCACAACTTGGGGAATGGACTCTTCCATCCTCCGCACTGTCTCGCTGAGTTCAATTCCTTGAGCCCCGATACCACGAGTAACAGCCCCTCTCAGATCAACTCCTGCGATCTCGGAGGAGAGGATAACACGCTCCATTTTCCCATACCTATAACAAAATTAACTTGTATAAACTACGTAATTGCAAAGATTCCTGATTACAAAACTGCATCATGAAACTTACTTTTGCTTAAACGACTCAAAAGGCGAGTACACAGCCTTCAGCGTGTTTATTAAGACCCTGACTTCAGATTCTGCAAATAGGTGCTGAATGTTTCTTGCGAATGTCCCGCTGATGTTATGCAGTTCAATCAAGGCCTCGAGATGTTTTGTCTGAATTTTAATACCCTTAGGCATGTCTCCAGATAATACATCCAACACACCTGTTTGAGCACAATAAAACATAGATGCTCAGTCAGTGCTCTCCTCAATGACCAAAAACATAGATGTGATGAGAATAGCGCTCATCATAACAAACTATTAAGATAATACAGTAAAAAAAATGGGACACCGCTAAGGAAGCGGTGAGGAAGCGAAATCACTCTTCAACGAGGTAAAATGAGCGAGGTTTAAAAGGAATTCCGATGTAATATCTAACCTTTGGCAAGGGCTTTTGTTTCAGGAACCGCGTCTCCTGTCGCAAGGTTAATACGAGAAACGAAACTAGGCCCCAAAACTCCCAAGGTTTCAATTAGGAGCTTTGGGACGAGAGTCTGGTAGTCATCAGGGAAGGCAACCATACACCTGTCGATTATAGTTCCAAAAGTCATAAACAACCACGAACGCGAAAAACATAATGTACCAGTTTGATATCATTTCTGATACTTAGAAGAACCTACAGTCATGATAGTGTAGGAAGGTCTACAAGCTGTGAGTGGGGGGAGGGTCGTCCGACAGTAATGGTATTAAATGAACGTCCAAAAACAAAGAAATACCATTTCCATTCCTGCTCAAGATAGAGTAGCAACTCGTCATAAAAGCTAGGCAGCCAACTGGCGAACGATATCTGAGGGGAAGCTGACTGAAACTCATCGCCAGTAGACAACCTTTTGCTTTCATCCTTCTCGCTAGCAAGCTTGCTAGCCCTTTGCTTTATGTCAAAATCCTCCCAGAGTTGTTTTATTGGCTTCAGACGAACTTTGGAATAATGCAATTCTAGAGACTTGAATCTCCCAATTCTGATGAGAATTCCTCGCAAATCTTGGGCAACATCAACCTGCACAGAAGACAAACCTCAACTAATGAGTAATGACAATAAAGATAGAAACTTTTTTTCCTTTTCCTGATAATTCATGGGCCCCAACCTTGTGATAGGTTAATGCATCAGTAAGACGTGGCTGCACCATAGCATCCAGCCTATCCTCCAACACCTCTAGTTGCTTCCTCACGTTGGCAAATTCCGCAACCTGTTGATCAAAATTGGAGCAGAATAGCGAGGTCAAAAGAATCAACCCAATCTCATGCCGAATCAGAAACCATAAAAGTATTATTACCTCTCCAACTGCAGACAAGCAATTTCTCATACTAGCCAAAGTTTCTGCAGCACGAGGAAGGTCACCGCTAGCAAAAACATCCTCAACCGTGGAGCTTAACTGTGTTAACCCAGCAGCATCCTGTACTAAGCCAAGCAAGAATAAGCAGCTTCAAATACAAGATTCTTCCCAAGCCGACATGGCCAAATTTCATTGACCAACACTTGATGTACAATAAAATCACAACAAATATAGACCTGTAATGTTTTGTATGCCGCCTCCATTCTCTGCTTGACATTGTCCACCCTAGCAAGAGCAGCTATACACTCTGCTGAAGAACCCTCTGCCTACAGGCACCCAACATGATACGAGGATGCAGAATCAATCCAAACTGGGTCGTAAAAGGAACTAATTTCCTCTTTGAAGATTTCTTAACAATTGTTGTAGCAGAAACATACAGGCACATATTCAAGGACACCCAAAACCAATTCAATTGTGAAACCCAATTGAAAGGGAATGGAAACAATCGCATCATTTGATGAATGCCATTATTTCTAATTCGTGCAAATGACGAGCTTCCGAATTGGAAATGCACGAAAACTTCGTTCAATCGCCGGGGACAACCCACCGTTCAAGCATAATTAGCACAGGCTCAATGATCTAAAGCTGAATTAGAACTGTGAAACTAACGCTATATGAGATCGAAACAAGCTCGGGTTGAATAATTTGACTGTCCAAAGATGCAACACAATGCAAACGTTCACTAACCTTCTTGAGCTTCTGGAGGATTCCGGCGACGGAGCCTCGCAGAGACACCGCGTCGTCGCGGAGGCGGAGGACGTCACGCGTGGCGCGTGGAACCCGGAGGATTGCCCCGCCGCTCTGCTCCTCGAGCGACGCCGCAATCTCCTCGGAAGAAATCTGGAGCTTCATCTCCAGATCCACCAGGTGCTTCTCCAGCGAGTCCTGTGGGTGACGCGCCTGACACGCCGAGTTGACCCACCGCTTCGCATCGAACTTCTCGTCCGAGAACGGACCCAGATCCAGCATCATGGCTGCCGAGTTCTGACGGGACGAGTGGGATCAGATCGGACGAGTGAACTCGGTCGAGTTAGAGGGAAGTCATTGTGCGATAAGTAACGATGATTTCGCTGCACGGTGGGAATCGTAATGGAAGAGCCAAGAGATTTTCAAGTTCACCCCTATACTTAGCTAATCATTTGTAATTCGACTAAACTTTTGATATTATCAATAACACCCAAAATTTCAATGAGAACATGAGGAATACGCGAAATCCAAAAATATAAGTTGGAATTAATTTCTAATGGTAAAATGGCAACAAACTGTATGAAGAAAATTTGAAGACAAAATCTAGGCTAAAACATTTTAATGATTCGAGTAAATGGTTTAGCATAGTATTTTGTAAACACTAATCGAATATTGATAAATTAAAATATAAGTTGCAATTAATTTCTTCTCAGGTAGTCTAGTAGTAAGTCATCTTCTAATTTCTTATCGGTTTCGGAGTTCAGTTCTTCGGTCGAAACGTTTGTGAAACGGTGTGGTGGTGGACCTGGACCAGATGTGTTTGAGCCAAGTCTTGAACCTAATGGACCAGCTGTGGATAGTCCCCTGCTCTCAGCCGCGCGCGGCATCGGCTCGTCGGCCGATCGTCGAAGCTGGGACGTGAGAGAGAAAGACG